ACGTACGTGACCGCCGGTGTTTCTGTTGCCCTAACCCTCCGGGGTCTGTCTTACAACGCCCATCAGCAGCTTGCTTCGTATTTTCAAGCGACGGCTGAAGCTCCGAAGTTCCTGGAATTATAGTGTAAATTGCGTTGTCCATTTTGTTTTGTTTTGGCTTTCAGGGGTGCTACAGTAGAGGCGTAGCACTCTATGAGTGCTCCTCCATGAGGAGGTGTTCAACTGTCCAGTTCTACAGCACTCGAAAAAAAATTTGTCGAAGTGAAATCTGATTCACTGTCGTTACAGTATTACATGCTCAATTGGAAACGGTGTGTGTAGTACACCTGCTTTCAGATACATGTTTCCTGCGGACTGAGTTAAAACATTGCAGTGCCCTTTGTTAGTTGACTTGCTATGCCTGTGAACTCTGCACATACATAACTTTTGTGCCGTGGAACGAATGTAGACTGCTCCTTCCAGGTGGTTTTTATTGAAATCACAGCTTGAATTTTATTTTTTTACTTTATATGTTCAGGGATGGAATTGAAAAGCTTCTGGAGGTTTTAATGGAGTGACTCACATGCTGTGGTCTACAGACCAAACTAGGGCCCTGGTAAGTGGTTTTGCAGGTCTTAACTGGGCCCTGTGGTCAAAGAGACCTTGTTTGGTGACATCTTTCTGGTTTTAGCAAGGACTCAAGCCTTTCCTCTGTTGCATAGTGAAGGAATTAACCTGGCTTGGTAGTGGTTCTTTCATCCAAACTGTTCAGAAGCAGTTCATGTAGGATGTGGTCTTAGCAAGTCCATTAGTTTTAAAAAGATGATGCATTAAATATAGTTCATAAATGCACTAACTGAAGCACTCATTTGGTCTTGTGATCCTTCTTGTTAAATTCTAGATTCTACATTTTGCATTATATATGCTAGTGAAAGATACAGAACTTGGAAAGCTAGGTTTATTTTACTAGCAATTAGCAGGATTATCTGAATCCCGCTATGTATGTTAGGATACAAGTGTGGGAACAACATGAAGCATAGCTTCTGAAGTATATATAAACTGGAATATCAATTCTTGTCGTACACATTTTAAGAATGCTTGATCGTGTGCTTTGGTGAAGTAAGAATTCATCTTTGGATTGCTGCATCAAAAACTTCTAGATGATGTGAGCAAGATGTGCATATAGGGTCCAGGAGAGTATACTGGTAAAGATGTGTATGATCCATCTGTAGTGGTACATAAGTCTGCATGAACAAAAGTATTAGCCCAGCAGGGCGGTTAAGAATGAGACATTGACCGACCAGAAGATGCACTTTTGTGGACAGCTCTCTCTCTGCATTGTAAATGGAATCAGTTGAATGGCACATGAAATGCTTACCAGTCAGTCAGGTAATGGACATTCTCAACATACAGAGAAGTACCACATTGCTTAGTCATGCAGGTTCCTTCTCTGTTGGCATGGGTTTTGATAGTCATGAAGTGTTACTTCCACTTCTACTGCTTCTCTAGTCTCCTTAACCATGAGCAGGTGTTTTTCATGAAGGAATAATTAATGGAAAGTGGTACACATAGCTGTACCTGAAGCAGGTTACACTTAACTGCAGGCTCTCACTGCTGGATTATATGCTGTATTATTTCATATGCATTTAAATTTGCCTGCTATTTTGCAGTGTCTCTACGCCTAGATAAGAGAATTACAAGTGCTATGGAAAAGAACTGGGTTTTTCTTTTGATATTTTCCGGGTTGCTTTCTTAATTAGTTTCAGATTTTGCTCTGTAAGAGTTGTCAGTACTTAAAATAGTAATATTGGTTAATAACTGTAGAAGCTACTTAACAGGAGTTGAGTGCGAGGTCGGTACCTACAGAGCGGTTCTCTGAGTGACAGTACCCTTTCCTGATGAAAGCATGCTGCTGCTGTCATAGAGAAAACAGTAAGGATACTTGAAGGCAATAGTTTGTGGTCTATATCAGCATTTCTTCTTCTTCCCTGTTGCCACTCTCTTGAGAGACACTGCTAATGAAGACAGAAGAATGGTCTCAATTCCTAAAAGTTTGAGAAACACTGGCTAAAGTTTAAAACAATTATCTAAAGTCGTGGTGTGCTGTATTATAAAGAAGTAACTGGTAGGTTCATACCTATTGTACTGGTGAAAGAATTTTTTTTTGCTGTTATTTACATTTATGTTGGGGAAAAAATGAGAAGTTTTTGGTTTTATGTATTTTTACGTCAGTTTTTTAACATAAAAAGTAGCATCTCATATTCAGTTTAATGACTTAATAGGTCATTGGAATGTGCATTTTATTTGGTGGATAGACGATTTCTTAGTGCCTGGTGTTTCAGCTGTCCAGCTGGACTCTTCCTTTCAGATTGAATAGGTTACAAGAAAATGCTTTCTCGTATTTGTATCACAGTACTCTGAAAAATGTTTATTTCTAAGTTAGAGATTTCAGACGGTTACAGATACTGCAAAACAACTTTTTATGCACCCACTGCTGCTTCTGCTCCTGGGAAGATAGGTTGTTTTGAGGTTTCACTGCCTCACAGAGATACTTACAATCTCTCTTAAGAAGATTATCTCAATAGAGAGAATGTGTGGCTCTCCCAGCTCCTTGTGAATGTCACAATCTTCATTAGGCTGAAAAACTAAAAAAGAGCTGCAGGATGCTTTCAGAGAGCCTAAGGGATACATGCACGATTGGTTAATGTGCATGTATGTATAATTTGAGGAACAATACATTTACTACTGAGTACTATAATATATAGTATCGTAAATTATTTTGATAACGCTGAATTCAACTCCCATACCCAGTGTTTATGTATTTAGAAACTGTGTATTAATCACACCTTAAATTATGCAGTAACTATTTTTAATTTGCTTTGAAAGGGGGACATAAAAAAGGTATGATGTCTGTGAGAATGACATATCACTTAAATTGAGTTTGGTAGTATTTACTGTATTTTCAGTCTAGAAAGCTGAAAATTCCTGCATCAAATAGACTGCTTAAGATATGTAAATGCAGGCCATCTTAGTTTCAGTGAATGTTAGTACACATCACCTGAACTCTCTTGATTCTTTAGCTTTCTCCTGTGTTGATGAGTGAGGGTCATGAATATATGCTGGAGCCCAGCAAAGGCCGGGTCCTGAAAAATGTTCAGTTCATATTCTGGATTTACTAAAAATCTTGGTCTGAAACTTAAATTTCAGTCTAAATTAATAGTGTATTTGAAAATAATGTTTTTGTCTCAGAACATTCTAGGCATGTATTACTTTTATAAGAATTGATGTCTGTGCTATAAATTGGTTTTCCTTATTAAATATAATGTGTTGTCAGTTCAATGCATGACAGTTGTGATATAAGCAAGGATTGTTTGTCAAAAAAAAAAAGCTGAATTAGGAGTGAACCTTGAAAGCAGTTAATTTTTTTAAAAAGTTTATTTATATTCTGATAGATTTCAGTCTGATTGTGTCACTTACTTGACCTGTGAGGGTTTATTTCCAGGTCTAATCACTGGAGCTAGAACAGGGGTTTTGATGTATGGTTATGCAGAAACATATTTGGACCCTTACATTTCTGAGAGAAGTAAATATTATGCACATGCAGTAACTACTGTTGGTGTTCTCAACCAATAAATGAAACCTGGCAGAGATTCATTCCTTAGAGGACTGCATACATGCCAAGTTTGAACTTAAAACGGAAGTTTGAGTTATTAGATTGCACAAGTGCTTGCAAATATTTCCTGAACTATGACGTTTTATCATCATTATAACAATGTAAACATCTGAAAGGATTTTCAATTTTCTTATATTCACTTAGTACTTTTGTGTTGGGAAACACATTTCAACTCAAAACAAACGTGTGTGTTTAAAAACAGATGTCTAAAATTATGCTGTTCTACAATCCCAATTACTGTTGAGTGAAGGTTGATGACTTGTCAGTGGATGATGTGGTAGAGTTTTAGGCTAGTCCTAATTGATGTCTCATAAGTATCAACAGAAAATCTAAGCCATTTCTTTAAAATGAATGTTCTTGAAGGAGCACAACATCACATAGGTTGGCAGGGACTTGCAGATGAGTCTAGCTTGACCTCTTGCTCAAAGCAGGTCTGGTTAGAGGAGGTTCTTTAGGGCCTTGTCCAGTTGTGTGGTGACTGTCTACTGGGATGGCAACTTCACAACTTCTCTGAACCTCCGTTGCAGTGTTTGACCGTCCTTGTTCTAAATATGTGAAATATATATTGTGTTGAAGCAAGTTTTGCCTTGTTCCTGCTTGTATGTGTTAATACTTGTCCTTTTACTGGACAAGTAAAAGGGAAGAGTAAAAGGCTCCTACCTTACATTACTCTTGCCTCTCTTACAAGTAAAAGGCTCTTACCTCTGGGAAGAGCCTGGCTCTGCCCCCCTGCCCTGTCAGGTGGTTGCAGACAGTGGTGAGGTCCCTCGGTGCAGGCTGAGAGGTCTGACAGGTGCAGCCTCTCCTCACACGTTGTGTGTTCGAGCCCTGATCGTCTTGGTCGCCGCTGCTGGGCTTGCCCCAGTTTGTCAGTCTGTCCTGTACCAGGGAGTCCCAGACTGGGCCCAGTATCCAGGTGTGGTCTCCCAGAGTGCTGAACAGGGGGAAGGATCGCTGCCCTGGACCTGCTGGCTGTACTTGCTAATGCAGCCTAGGATGCGTTGGCCTTTTTTGCTGAAGGGCATGCTCTTGACCCCTGTTCAACTTCTTGTCCGTAAGGTACTTTAAACATTGTATTTTAGGGTATTAAAGTGAGGTTAAAGTTACTTTTTTATACTCTTGTTTTAGGGGTTTAGTACTCTTGAATGTCATGAAGCAACTAAAGAATTGATAAAGATTTTTGTATTACAGACCAGAGCTTATATTAAAGGAGTTGGATCTTATGAAAACATGAATTTTAGTACGTAAGTAGGGATATTTAGGAATGCAAGTGTTTGGGTTCAATATTTGAATAAACTTTGAGAGGTACTTTGAATTTATAATTTTGAACTACTGGAAAGACTCCCTACGTTAGCCCGGTGATGGAGGGGATCCAGTGGTGAGCAGTGCTACTGAAGTACAAAGTGCTTTTTGTAGTGTCTTATCCCTTGATCGCGTACATCGTGTGCATGCCAAGCCCTCCCCCATTCAGATCGATGATCTCCCACCCTCAGCAATACCCTTTATTTTGTTGCCAAAGGCTGTCTTGGAGTTAGAACTTCAGTGACTTTACTTTCTGTTATTGCTTTTTGTTCTCTGTAAGGTTTAAGAAGTGTTTGGTTAGGCTGTGATGTGTTCATTTTAAGTTGACTGAAGTCAGCTTGGACTTGAAGTCAACAAGTGAATGTATGGATCCTTTAGTATGGAAGCTTCTTATAAAAGTTAGCTATTTCGCTTTAGCTAGTGTAATGTTTGTAGCAAGTAGGTAAGTTTCCATGGCTAGTTGTACCTGTGTTCCCCTTCCCTTCCTCCCCACTTCCCCTTTCTCTAACCCCAGGGCTACAGTGCTGGAGGCTCCCAGCCAGCTTCTCTCTGGTGTTTGTAAATGAAAACTAGAAAACCAGATCGAGAGGATGGTAGTATGTGGGTTTGGCTAGGAAACAGGTTAATTCTTACTGGCTCAGGAAGCCTTGCTCTTCTACAGATGGTCTCTGAAACATCTGATGAAATTCCAGAAGGGAATTTCTAGAAGAGTGGATAGGGAGCAAAGAATAAGATTCAGAAAATTCCAGGTTTTTTCTTCTTGTGCAAAAGTAGTAGGTATGAGTTGAACACATACTGTCTTACTGGGCAGAATGTGTCTTGCCTAGCAAAGATGTACTGGGGGCAGATCAGTTGATTTCAACTTAAGTTAAAAGTGCCAAGAGTCTGAATTCCTTAATATCAAGCTGGAGTGGGTATAGTAGCCAAAGACTTGACATAAGCTTTCTCTGGAGACGATTTCTCTGGTTTGATCCTATGAGACTGGAAGTATAGAGAATCAAGCCTTTCTTCCTCCACCTCTGTAGCTCTCAAGCATTTTTAAAATTCGGAGGAGTATTTTAGTGTTGTCAGGATTAAGGTGTCAGACTGGAGAAATGAGTTCTAAGCAGATTTTGAATAAATTTCTTGCTGAAACTATTTCAAGATGAAGGCTTTCATAGTTATATTAACCTGTTGAAAAAATTGCCTGTTTTGAGATGCATGCAAATAGCCATCAGAGAAATGTTGTCACCCTTGGGAAATTTTAAACATAAATATTTACAAGGTATTCTCATAGTTCAGAGTTACAATTAAGAAAAATACTTTTGTTGCAGCTTTAGGTGTTAGTCGGCAATGGTAGATTAAAAGCATCTTCTATTTGAAATCTTAAGTTCTTTAAAATGTTCCATTGTGATTTGCTGCTGGATTATGTTGCAGATTTTTTAGGAGTCTTTCTGTTTTTATGAAAACAAAATTACTTTTCTCCTCAATTTACTTCAGTTTTGCGCTTTCTGACATCCTTTGACATCTGTGGTCTAGTTTAGTATGCTTTATCTAAATCATAAGCAGTTAAAAGGATTACATAGATGCTACTCTTATTAGTGTTCTTAATAAGGTCTTTGACAAATAAGAATGTCTAATGTGCAATGTAAGGAAGATGTGACTTCTAGCAGTTGTATAACTAACGGTTCAACACGTGTTGCGTAGCAAAATTTGTGCTACTTGCCTCTCTTTGCTCTGACAAAACTCTTCACCTGAGGTGTTCTGTGTTCTGCTTCGGTTAGAAGTGTAGGTGATAACCTCGGCAGAAGTTGCGAAGAGAGCTGGAGCCATACCAAAATGTTCTTGTACGTCTTTTCCTCGGTTTCGCAGTTGTGATCCATAGCCTGATTTGCAGAGACGTGGGCTCCCGTGCAAGGCAGGGGCAGCTCTTCCCGGGGCAGCGACCGTTCTCGGGACGTGGCCGGTGTCCCTGTTTCCATCCGCCGTGGGCTCTGCCTTGAGTCCCATCAGCGTGCTGGAGAGAGCTGGGGTGCAGAGCGGCTCAGGCAGCTCCCCAGGGCTAATTCCTGCTGTAGTTCTTACAGATCCGTCCCTGACTATGTTCTTGCGGGGATGTGCTTCTGTCAGTTCTCCTTTGTGGTTTTCTTCAGCTTGGAGTAGTGTCTCAGGCAAATTGCTTTTTCTGACTGTGTCAGGAGACTCCTTAGGAACGTGTCGCAAGGAATCTGGGAGTTTCTTTTCTCCCTCTGTTGCAGGCTTTGGAAACTCTGGTAGGGAGGAATGGCTCATGATGTGAGAAGATGGCAAGTGAAACCTATCTCCCTTTGAGTGGGGTTGACAATACAAGGCAGGCTTTTCCTACCTGCTGGATTGGTGACTCTCAAACCAAATTTCCAGGTAAGAAATTATTCCTGCTTCTCACTTAAATCAGCCTTAGGTAGGGTAAAAGGAGAGAAACAAAACTCAGTTTAGGCTACATGTTGAATGTAGCAGCTGATGGGGGACAGTAAACATGTATGATTGAAAAAAATTTTTGCTGTTCTGGATAATGTCTGGAGAAGTGTGTGACAAAAAGTAGAATCTGATCTGAACTGCACAATTAATTGGGAATAGCATGTAATTCATTTCACCATAGTGCTTCTGGAAACGGCAGGGAAGGGAAAATTTGGTACGTATAGCTGTGTATATCAAGTACTGCGGAAGAGAGACAATAAGTGTTTATGCTCATGGTGTTACAGGTCTTACACACCATTGTGAGGTTTGTGATAAACACAAGTAGAAAAACCAGTGATGTCGGTCCCCTTAAATGCAATGTAAGAAGCTTGGAAGCCCACTCCTGTTACCTGCAGCTCTTGTAAAATAGTTAATCATTTTCTGTGGCCTTTTTAGGTCCGTAGGCTGATTGTTCTTGGATTTCTTCATGAAAGTACTGATATTCACAGGAGCATCTGTGGATGGCTGGTGAAGTTTGTGGGGTGCTTTCTTTTTCTTTTTTTTTCTTGGCACCTGAAGTATAACTAGTTAATGCTGATGACAGTATTTTGATGATAGGGTACTGTAAGTCAGAAAGGAACTGCTGTTCAAAACGTTTTAGACCCTCAGTGCAGAGTTTCACGTGATGTGGTCAATACTTAGTATTTCTTCCAATATTTTTGCCAGGCAAGAAGCATTTCTGTTTTATGGTTAGGTGAAACTGAGCCATATGGGATTTGAAATGTGAAGTCTGAAAAAAACTTCCTGATTCTCAATTCTTTGCTTTAGTGCTGCTGTTAACCTCTGGAGTATTGATTTGTAGCTTCAAAATAATATGAAGCCATCTTTGAGAATGTAGGAAGTCTATAGTAATAATTAGGATTGGGGGGAGATCATAAACCAGTCTGACCTTTGTAATTTCTATGAATGTGTCTAATTCTAATTCAACTGTGATTTAGAAAAAAAGATTGATCTTTTAACAATAGTTTTTGCTGTGTGCTATCTGATACATTCCTTGGAAGTAGTTAGATGCCTTTTTTGAAAGCAGTTACAGTGGAAATGTATGTACTAGGGCTAACGCTTTTGTTTTAAACAGTATTAAGCTTCTAATTTAAACTGATGCAGAAAAACAATGTAATAAGTTCTGCTGGAGTATAACTAGGATGATATTTTTACTTTTACTTCATTTTAATTTTCTTATGTAAGAATTTTTTTTGACTCAAACTGGGAGTGAAACCTTGTTTTTCTAGTAGGTTATATAAACATTTGAGCCTTAGTTTGTCCTAAAATACACTCTCATTAAATTTTTGCCATAAACTTTGTTAGCTTGCAAATTATCTAAAGTTTTGACAGGTAAGGATTTCTTTGTTTTTCTTCTATGAAAATACTATTTCAGTGTGGTTTTCTCTACTTTTCCCTCTCCCCTCACAAAATCAGCCACATCTATGTCTTTTCAGTAATGCAGTTTGGTTTCTAGTGCAAGTGATGCTGCATTAATTTGTTTTATATTAGATTAAAAGACCGGGACATGAGTGAGTACGAGATGTATAGTGGCTAATACAATATTGGAAAGCTGCTGTTGGAAATAATGAGTATTGAGATGTGAAAATAAAGTGTAATATGCTGAATGAGAATTGCAAGGCCTTGTCTTAGGATTGTGATCTATTGAGATACATGCAGAACACTGGTGGCACCTTGTGTGCAAAGTGTATTTGAATATGGAGGTGCAAAAAGTGGGTGTTTGACTGTGAGAGCAGTATTTGTGGACTACCTGTTCCCTGTGTCCTCTCAGACAGAAGCAATGGGCAAGGTGGAATTACCCGCGGTCAGAATCCAGCTCATGGACTGCCACTTGTATCGCTCTTTTGACATCAAAAGGCTTGATTTTATTCAAGCTTTCAGTGATTTGTCTAGTTTAAAAGCAAAACAAAACCTGCCTTACAGGAAGCGGTTTGCATCTGTGGAATTTGACTTTGCATTGCGTAAAGATTATAGATCTTGGGCTGCTTAATTTTTTTTTCTGCAACATTTTGTATGATTAACCCAAGACAGCACTAAAAATCAGGTTTAGCTGTGGTCTGTTTTAAGTGGAATAGTTTTAATGGTAAATGTTTGAAACTTGTTCTGTAAGTATATACACATCAGCTGATAGGTGGCTTTCATATAGTATTCCCTAAAGAATTTTGTCTTTCAGTAATAAGATAATCTCAAGGTTCTGAATATGGGGGAAGCTTCATTGTATATATGAAAGCTCTTGTACATGGAGGTACTGAAATACTGGTTATCTTTCACATCCTGCTCTTGAAGCATGTTTCATTTGATGAGACAGGGAATTTTTAGTTGGATTATTGTTGTTGCTCTGCAGTGAATCTTCTGTGTTCTGAAGCCATCGTTAATTTTAGCACTTGAAAAAATTAATGCTAATTTACTATTAATGTAATCAATCTCCCTGAAATAAGTCCTACTGTTCTAACTCAATATCCACAAAGTTGAGCATCATTTAATTACACTTACTTTTCAAAGGTGTTTCAGGTGTCCCAGTGTGTAAAAATACCCAATCGCTTTGAAAGCTTCTCCTTGAAAATTATATTCACAATAAAATTGCATAGGAACTTGATTTAAGACTAGATGACACTTTTGGGGAGAAAGTGTTAACCACAACCTTAGTGGTAAATAAGTTTTCAAACCTTTAACATAGGTTGTTCATAGAACATCTTTAAACGCCAGTTTGGTTCATGTAGTAACTTCTTTGCAGCTCCGCTGAGGACTTAAAACTCTAATTTAGCAATTACAGAGGATAACAAAGCAGGATACTGGAAAGGAACTAGTCTAATTGATATCCAGTGTTAAAGCTATGTGTGTATACATTTACATGTATATGTGCAAAGTGTTGTATAGGCTGCAGAAAGGCAGGTGTAGTTGGCATGAGAGCATTTTTTGCTATCAACTCATGGTTTTTGGTATTAGCCTTCCCTGCAGAACACTATTTGAAAAAACCCTGAAATGTTCAGATAGTTTGTATTACTGCATCTGCCTCCCTGACCTCATGGAAATAGGTTATGTTAGAAAACATCCTCTGTTGTATCTGGGACAATATTGTGATACACTGCTACTTTGATATTTTCATGAACGTCACTAAAGTCACACCTGACTTTAGTCAGGCACACCTCTCTTAATGCTTGTCTTGAGACAGACTGGACAATAGATGGTTATAAAAAGTAATTAACAGGTGTCTTGAGTTTAACAAAGTAAAATGGGTGGGGGGAAGATGATATTTGCTTGGGGAAAACAAATGACTTGGCTAAAAAAATGTATTTTTTTGGGAAGAAATCAGTAGCAAAAACTAAGTATGATGTAGAAATTACCACAACTTCATTCTGGGTAAGGGATCCTTTTCTGAAAAGGAGTGTGTGTGGTTTGTGTTTTTTTTTGTTTGTGCTTTGTTGTTGTTGGGGTGTTGGGGTTTTTTTGGGAAACCTGTTATATGTGGGTAATGGCTGTTTTTTTTAAGGGTAATGTCAACTGTGGAATCTGTTCATTTACCCAACCGAAATGAGCAGTCTGAGGATTTTGCGTTCATTCTTGTCATCTTTTGATTCTGGGCATGTTGGTTTTCATGTTCTTTTTCTTAAAACTGGGAAACTTTCTGTTTTGCAGTTGGTGTAATCAGATGTCCTATATGCCGCCAAGAATGCAGACAGATAGATCTGGTGGATAATTACTTTGTAAAAGACACGTCAGAAACACCAAGCAGCTCTGATGAGAAGTCAGAACAGGTATGGCACTTTCCTGCTTGCTGGAATTCACATGCTGTTTTTGTTTCTGTACATGTTAATGCTTTCCAGGAAGATGATAGTAACTGACTGTTTCCCTTTGCAGGTGTGTACAAGCTGTGAAGATAATGCTAGTGCTGTTGGATTTTGTGTAGAGTGTGGGGAATGGTTGTGCAAGACTTGCATAGAAGCTCATCAGCGAGTAAAATTTACTAAAGATCATATGATCAGAAAAAAAGAAGATGTATCTTCAGGTGAGTATTTGGATATCACTTAGTCCTGCCTGTAGTAAAAATGTTTTCTCTTTGGCACATGTAAAAAGAGAGTGGGAGGATTATTTAGGTAACAACCAGCTGTATGGCTTTCCCCAAAGATTTGCGAAAAGTTTAGTAAAAAGCTACCAGTGCAAAATTGGTAGCTCTAAAAATAGAGGAAAAACTAAATTTTAAACTACGATGGGTTATTTGCTAATACTTTGTACAGTTTGATGTCCAGTGTAAAAAATATCTTAAGTACAGAGGAAACAGAATGAGACTGCAGTCTTTGGAAAGGATTTAGATCCATTCTTAATAGTTCTTTTGTTTAGTAGAATAAGTCACTAAATGGAGGGGTTGAAATCTGGAGAGCACTGTCATATTGGTAATCTTATCCATTGGCCAAGGAAATTAAATTATACATTTTGCTGTACTTGGTTATAAGTATCTCTCCCAGTAGAGAAGTATATGCGGATAAGCTTATAGTCATATTCAGTATGATGTTACTGTGGTATTGATATTGCTGAGTAAATGCGGAATTTGAATTTACTTTAGGTTTAATATCTCTTTCAGCTAGCAAAATTTAATGTGCGAAGTGTGTGTACAGTTTGTTTAGACATGCAGCTTTATTAGAAGTTAATTCTTAAACTATCGTTTGACAGTATATTGTTTGTAACCTACTGAGGTAATGTGGAAAACACTCTGAAAACAGGTAAAAGGTAACCGGATTTTAGCTTGGAAGATGTTACTTATAAATGGGATAAAAGTTCTGATTTAAAGACCTGTGGGTTCTACACAATCTGGATGTATATGAAGACTGATCATATTGAGGAAGAGAGATCCTGACATTTTGCTCTCTCTCTATATTTAAAATAAATTATGATCTTCGTGATTGTTTCACTGTGCCATTTCAAAGGAGTAACACTGCTTTGCTTTCTGCCAACTCTCATCAAAATCAACAAAAAGTTTGTTATTGAGCTTAGTTCTTCTAGACAACAATCTTATTTCACTTGCTCTATCAAAGAAACTTCATTTTTGGAGAGGTTTCTCTGTATGTCTTAATGGCTATTGTTTAATAAGAAATAGTACCTATTTAAGTTTAAACGTATTAATCCTAGTAGATGAGAAACCTTTAAGGTGAAATCAAATTACAGGGCCCTACAAAGAATTACTAACGTTTTTCATTAGGAGTGCTGTATTGTGACTGTCAAGGTGATACTATAGCTCCACTTCCCCTTCAATAACCTGAGTGGGGAGGTGCCGAAAAATGGCTGGTCCAATAAAGTAAACTTTGTATTAGAAATTTAGGTTGGTGTTTATGGAGACAGAAGCCCAGGTGTAGTTGGTATGCTAGCATATGGCCTTCCTGTGACCTGATGTACAGCGATCCTTAGGAACTCTCTTGATTGTGGGGAATGACTGTTCATTATTTTCTCAGGGGAGCTTGTTCCCTTCTTTCTTGTTAGACTCTAAGATATGCCCTGGAGACTTTAAATTTCTATTAATGAGTGTCAGCTGTAGATTCATGAGCTCTCTTTCTTTACAATAACTTGCATGGTATAACAAGCTTCAGAAATGTTGGAGACTGAGGAAGACATTCACGTTTTAAACCTTACCTGCTGTATCTTCCAAAGGCCGCTTTCCTCTGTGCTAAGCTCAAAATATCTTTAGAAGATCATGCGGCACTTTTTAGTAAACTCGGAACTATTTTTTGACATTATCTGTTATTTGCTTAAGTGGAAAAGTTAAGCAGTTTAGCGGGGATTTAAGTAACTCTTAACATGGGCAATGTTTGCTTTGCATTTACCACTTCAGTTGCATGTGCCTTAATGAGGTTTATAAAGGTTTTGAAGTGATAATTTAGAAAACGTATGGGTGTTTGACAGTATGAAAGTTTGAGAGGTTTGATCCATCCTTCAGTGTGTCAGAGATGAAACTACATGCAATCTAATCTTTAAACATGTGTACATAGTCCTGGTGTTTGTGTACAGTTTTTACATTCTTACAGGTGCCAGTGTCTTTTGAGTGTTTGTGATAGGAGAGGAATTCCTCCTTCTCTTTGAATACAATAAAGCAGAAACAGCTATAAACCGCTGGCACTGTAAATATTTCAATGAGAACGTATTCATGATAACTTCAGGGTGAGAACAGGTCTGTAGTTGTCTTTTTCCAAATTCTTGGTTGTTACTTAGCTTGGAAGTTAGTCGTTTTGCTCTTCAGATTGTCTAAATTTTATTTTAAAATGCAAAAATGGTTTATTTTTAAAAACAGAGGCCGTGGGAGCATCTGGTCAACGTCCTGTTTTCTGTCCTGTCCACAAACAAGAGCAGTTAAAACTTTTCTGTGAAACATGTGACAGGCTGACATGCAGAGACTGTCAGTTACTGGAACACAAAGAACACAGGTACAAATATTACCATGTCTTAATTCCTGTGGTGCACTTTCTCAGAGGATGAAATGGCATTGATTTAAAACAGTTGTGTCATTAAATACTGTTGTATTTACTCTGTCGGACTGAAATGATCCATTGCAAAGGAGAACTTGTGTGGAGTGTTGAAAACTTTTAAGTGATCAGTTGGTTGAGCTTTGTCCAGTATCTTAAGAGCAGATTCAAAACAACATTGTCTGAGGTGATTTGGTGTGATTAAGGTGTTAACTTGCCTGGCATTTACCAGTGCTGTTGCTCTAATCAGGACTTGAATAGAAATTGCTACAGCCTTGAACACCTGGTGCTGTAAAGAAGCAAAAGTGATACAGTGAGTCATGGATGAGGTAATTTTTTGAAAGGGCATATTTTATTATGCAACAGTCTTTCAATTTAGGGTAATTTTGTAAAGGAATGTATAAATTTTGCCTCATAGATTAATCTATTTTTCTAGTACAGAGGGAAAAATAGTTTGGTTTTAGTTGGTTGAAAGTTGCCTCATTCCAAGTAAAAAGAAATGATGGATTTTGTCACCAGAGCTTGCTTTTCTCTTAGCTGCTAGAAAAAAGTTGGAACCTCTTAAGGTACATTAAACTTCCTGCTCTTTAGCAAGTCTGTCATATAGTTGTTTGAATGGTTGAAAAAGTATTTTGCAGTGTTATAATAGAGAATCTGGGGATAAATGTATTTATCAGCCACTGCAGCACTGCTTTTCCTAGTCAGTCTACAAGTAACACTTCTCTGTAAAGGTGCTTGACAGTACGTTGCAATATTGAATTTAGTAGGTTTTTTTCCAGCGTAGTGATTACTCTCATAGACTGCTACAGCAGCCTAATGGAGAACTTTTACTTTTGAAATTAGTACTACTAAAATATTAACAACCTCGAATATTCCTGCTCTGTTCTTTCATAGGCTTGATCATAAATATCCTGAAAGACACACTTGTTCAGAAAGTGTGGTCTCCTAGGATATGTTAACTTTTTCTAGTCGGTTTCTTTGCATCTGTTTTGTGCACGATGCTAACTGATTAACAAATGCATCTTGTTCTACTTACCTGTTCTCTTCCAGTAAGGGAAGAGAATACTTTGCTATTAACGTGCTTTGTTGCAGAATATTCTTTAAAAATTGTTCTGTCTGCAGATGTGAATTACAGATGATTAGGGTGACTGCTTCGTCTGCCATGAAGTACAACTGAGATTTTTATGAAGCTCACTAAATCATTGAAGGAAAATCATGCCAAGTGGAAACAAGAATTGATTTTAATCTCCTGTTTACTTCTTACCTGAAATCCTAATAGTTTGCACCAAAGGAGGATGAATCACCATTTCAGTAGCAACATGGTCCAGTGTTCAGTTCAGAATTTCAAGTGAAAGAATTGCTGGTGATTCTGTAGAAAGCTGACATTCTTGTAGCAGCCTGATGGTGTGCGATTCCTCTAGTTTAGGTAGTTTTCAGTCCACACACTTTGGAAGCTAGAAGTACAATACAATTAAAAAAAAGTCTTTTGGCTGTAGCAGGAGCTACAGCAAAATTTTAGCAATACTAGGTAAGTGTAGATCTCTTTTTTTTTTTTTTTTTTTTTGAAATCTGATTTTCAACTTAATGAAAATAGTTTTAGAAAATCTGCAGATCTTCAAACATTTCAAATTTTGTGGCCTTTGGGCTTTAGTAATGCTACTTTTTGCATTATAGTACCTAAAATCTTGTGATGCTGTCTGCAAGAACTTTAGACTGTACTTAGAAAAAGCAACATTCTAACATTGAGACTGAGTAATCTAAACTCTTGTAGCTGAAACTTGTCTATTGCTGGTACAAACTGAATGAACAGGAGCAGAGTCGTTTCTGTTGTGAATAGTGTTCTCTTTGCCTAAGTCTCTGTTATCATAATTGTGAGTAATTTGAATCAAGAAACAGTGTTACTGTAAATTTGATCATATATCCGAACAGTCTTTTCCTGTTAGATTAGACTGTAACGTTCTAGATTTTTGACAAAAGACACTACTTTCTTTTCAGTTGTGGTTGGGAGATAGTATAGGTTACTTCTAATGCAGCTTATAAGATGCTTCACTTTAATCGTAGGTGTTTTCTGCCAATTTGAATGTTGGGATTTAGTGTAGTGAAGAAGGGAAGGTATTCTGGGAACCTAAGTTTTCCCTGTTGTTAACAAATCATATTTCAGAAGCATGAAGTTTACTGGCTGCAAAGACGAAAAGTGGCACGTGTCTGATAGGAATCCTGGGTTTTGGGGGGAATCTTTTGATAGTTGAGCAGTCGATCAGAAAAGATTAAAACTCTTGGAGCTACTTAATTCCCCTTGCCATTTTCAACACAGGCATTTTGCTTCTGTTGCATTGTTAATTCCTCTTGTGATGTATAGTCTGTTAAGAAAATGCAACTAATGTCCTTATTTTCCTTCGATGTAGCTACTTGCACTCTTTTCAGATGAAGTAATGGAAGGTGCCTTTGATACAGTAGCTGTTTGATTGAAGGGAATGATATGTTCTTCACTTGGAAGTACCGGGGGGAAAAAATAGGAGTATTTTCTTTCAGATTAAACTAATTCAGTAAAATACGAGCAGTATAATCTCAGCTGAAAAATTGTTTTTCTGGGATAGGTTTTTTTTGTATCATTTAATGTGTGTTTAAGCTATTAGTGCATTTTCCTCATCTAATGTTAACAAAATGATTTGTCAAACTGAAGTTTCTGATGTCTCCTTTAGCTGGTGTTCCGTAGCTTGCTATCTTGTGAAATGATGCAGTGCGTTGTCTCCCTGTGTAGTTGGAATTAATAAGTGACCCATAGAGGTTCAGTCTTCTGGACACTTACAAAGGATTTTATCAGTACTGAAACATTTTGCACACTGATCGGCATACATATAGTTTGATTTTTTCTGTGTGTTTTGTCATTTTTTTTTTAAATTTTATAGCTTTACATCTAAATTGGGAACCCTTAGTTTCAGCATATTGCTCCTTGGTAATAGATACCTTCTTTTGCATGTTGAAAAGGTATCAGTTTCTGGAAGAAGCTTTTCAGAACCAGAAGGGTGCAATTGAGAACCTATTGGCCAAACTTCTTGAGAAGAAGAATTATGTAAATTTTGCAGCTACCCAAGTTCAAAATAGGTAAGTACCCCAAAATGATTAACTGTTACTGTTACATTGCCTTTTTAATGAATCACAGTAAGATGAATGATGGGACTAGAATAATACTTCCATTTTAGTTGATTCTGTATCTTTAGTTGTATTGGACTTAATTACTTGTCGTAATGTTTTCTTCCCTACAATACTGTGCATCTGTTGGAAGTTGTTACAAGAAACAAATGTCAAAGATGATGTCTTTTATGGCAACTTTGAGTAGAACCAAAGATGTGACATGTTTCTTGCACTTGGGGGAGAAAAAAAAAGGGAATAAAAAAGGCGAGGTAAACCCATCTTAGGGTTTCTGCTAAGTTCAGCTCTAGGTGACAGAAGTGTTGGCTGTAGAGAGAAAAATTTTTTTCTTGAAATATTTTTGTTTCATATGAATGCCTCTGATAACTGTGTAACAAAAACTTGTTTTGAAATTGAATAGGAAATTGTTGTTGTTGGTGTTTTGGTTTTGTTTTTTTAAATTAGGCAAGCAAAACTTAGTGTAATTACCTGAATGGAAGACAAGCTTTTCCTTAGGTAGTTTAACTTAAGAATTCCAGGGTTAGCTTAAATTCAACGTCATATAGAATATTGAATATAGAGACAGAGAGAGCACATGATCGCTGCTGGCTTTTCACCCACTTGTGGTGACATGGTGTGCTGGAGGTTAGGGAATTCCACTCTGATTCTCGGTGGTTTTGTGAGCCTTCTGCAACTTTTAAGTCATTTGCAAAATGACAGATCATCTGGAGATGGGAAGTACAAGGGTAGAAGGAAGTGTACCAAAGATATAAGGAGAAGTTCTGGTGCAAATTTTTAACTCCTAGTCATACCATGTACATTTAAAAAAAAAAAAAAAGTTGTACATGCTGAGAAAAGAGACGTCTGGTCATCTGGGAACAAATTCTGACTTTGTTCCTGAGCTGATGCATAATTCAGAGGGCAGAACATACGACATGAGAGGCAAACGTGTGAAGATGGAAGCAATGAAAATGGAAATTTTTATGTGCTGATTCAGCATGGAACTCTTTGAAGGGACCCAAAAGAGAACACCATTGTGAAGCAGGAGGACAAGCTGTAGAATTGTTACATGCTTGAAGAAGAGAGAAACCCAGTTATGTGGGAAATAATTAAACTGAAAGTTCAAGAAATGTCATAAAATCTTCTCTGATAAGAATTCACAGCCAACAATGGGTGGTGCATATATGAGTAACACATTGTAATGTTCTTTTGCCTAAGAGTTTCTGGCTTCACTGAAAATTCAGTGAATTTCTGCATCATGTGATTGGGTTGGGTAAAGATCATGATTATCTGCTGAGCCAAATGGGTAGTGCAAGTGAGACACTAGTTTACTTTGACATGCCATTCAGTTACTTTGTTGAAGTGTAGGGCACAAAATCCATTATCATAAAAACTTCAGGGAATGAAAAAAAAATGTGTATTACAATAATGTTGTCAATGTTAGCAGATGGTATGAAATAGCCATCATATGTGATCGTGAAGCGTAAAACAGTGTTGAAGGAATAGCTGCCTACTGGAATAATCGTTAGGTGCCAAAGCCAAGGATGGATGCCTACTGACTTAATGAAGGGTTGACTGAACGTTTTTTTTGGAGTAGAGGACCAGATTGTGCTGTCACGAAAAAGCACATGTGTCCAAGGTGCCTTAAAGGGCATTTGACACCAACAGTGAAGATCATTGTCAGACAAATGGGTATTGGTCTTGTGATCATATCAGGATGAATGACGTCACAAGTTCAGATGCTTGATCTAGTAGTGAAGAAGCCCTTTAAAAAAGGACAATTTAAGTAAGGTACTTACCATGTTCTGACTCCTACAAACGAAGTAAAGAATCCTGCTGTAATGCTATGTTGTCATTAGATTAAGGCAGCATAGCATCACACAAATCCAGAATTTGCAATGGAGTTTAAGAAATGCTGTATTTCAAATTCTGTGGATAGTGCTCAAGGTGATTTGCTTGAGTCTGAAGAAGTTGAGAATAGTGAAGACACTAAAACTAGACGATGATGGAAATGATGAAGAGGTGTGAGGTATAAAAAAACCTGAAAGGCAGTAGTGGTAAAGTGCAAGAGAATAATGTAGACTAATGTCAGGCAAATCATTAGGGAAAGGTTTATATCCTTATTGTGTATTGATTACAGGTATGTAACAAACCTTTTGTTACAAGATTTTTTTGGGGAAGGTGGAGGGGTCCATCTGAAATTCAGGGTTGACTTCCTTTCTGGTTAATATACAATAGCATAAAAGTTTAAGGCATCATATATAAATTCTTCATAGTGAGAGACATGATATGGAGATAAATACATATGTGTACATACACACACGTGGTCTTGGGTGGGTATGTCTCTGTGTGTGTGTGTAAACATATAAATAAAGTGTATAAACCACAAGGACTGTTTCATATTAAGTAAAACACAAGTTGTTAATTGAGATACCATCTTTATCTCAGATTGTTTAATTTTTTTTTCCAAAACTGAAGTTTTAGATGGCTTCTTTGAAAAAGTTGATTAATGATTTCTCTGTTAGAAATCAAACAAGCTATAAATTTTACACTTATTGGAACTTCTTCAATACAGAAATTGCTCCTTCACTCTTCAAGGGTGGGAAGATGCCTGTGGTGTTTAGTATTTGGCGGCATAGTATAAAGTGACTGCCTGACAATACATTTTTCTTTTTTTAGGATAAAAGAAGTAAATGAAACTAACAAACGAGTAGAACAGGAAATCAAAGTGGCTATATTCACCCTCATCAATGAAATCAATAAAAAGGGAAAATCTCTCTTACAGCACCTTGAGGTACAGTTAAGAGAAAAAATAATAGTGTTGTTCACTGTTCCCAGTCATCTATTGAGAACTCACGTTCCATGTTTGAAAACAGTTTGTTTGGTGTGACTGCAGGTGTTGCAATACCAATATTGCCTATGAATAGTGTGTTGGAGTTAAATCTCTTGTTTATCCTTTCATTAGCTAGAGCCTGTGGCTCCTTTAGTTTTATATCTATGCCTCAGATTCATTCAAAATCAGGCTCATCATAAAGGAGTGTCTGAAAATCTCCTTTCCATGTTCTGTTTGCCATATTTCTATATTATAACATAATTCTAAGGTGTGTATAATCTAGTCTTTTCCTCAAACAGCTTTTTAAGGTTCATGTAAATATATTAGCACTGTTACAGTGAGTTACTTCTTTTTGTCTTCTCCTGATACCTTGTCTAGAAGTTTTTCTTCAGAGTGTAAACTCCGAGAGACAGGTCTGTGTACTTTGTCTTGGGCACATAACAAATTGGTGCAATGTGTTTGATGCAACTTTACATCATTCTTTGCTCTGTTGGTTGTGCTAAGTCATCATTAAAATCAGTTTCCCTCCTTTTGCTTGTATAGGATGGTGGCAGCAGGGGAAGGGAGCAGGGAAGTGGATGGGCTAGTATTAATTTTCACTCCTAGTGTCATGTTGACTGCTTTGCTGCTAAGACAGTGGTGGTCCTAATGGCAGTTCTTAGTGTTTGTTTCCTTAGTAATTTTCACAACAGGTGTTGACTTCTAACAAATCCTGACCCTTGAAGTACACCTAGGTTTTCAAAGACATGTTAGTCTTATGTATTTGACCATGAAGTTGTAATGCTGGTATTTTAAGTTATATAGATTGGCATTGTAAAGGAAGCAATGACTTTAAACATACTTTCCATCTAGCACATTCTGAATAATAATTATATTCTGACTCTTATTCAAATCTATGACAACTTAACTTATGTATATGCGGCACTTAAGGACATGGTTTAGTGGACATGGTGGTGTTGGGTCGACAGTTGGACTCGATGATCTTAGAGGTCTTTTCCAACCTTAATGATGCTATGATTACTTTTTTTATCTGAAGAGAGGAAATCCATCATAAGAAGTTAGTTCATGGCATATTGCCAGTGTGCCATGATGTGACTGAAAAATTTAAGATCAATTTAATTAAAATAGATTTCTTCTTGTTAAGGAACAGTTATTTGGCAATGAAATGGAGTATTCCTGGAGGAAATGAATATTTGATCAGGAGTGAAATAAATAATTTAAAATTACATGAGTAACTGAATTTTGGCTTTTCTTGTTTACCTAGCATTTGTTATAAGCTAGAAAAATTCCATTGGAAACTTTCATTTTTTGTGAGTTTGTAACAGTTGCCCAGTCATGTTGTCGTAGTTTAACCGCAGCTGGCAACTAAGCCCCACACAGCTGCTCACTCGCTTTCCCCCCCCGGTGGGATGGGGGAGAGAATCGGAAGGGTAGAAGTGAGAAAACTTGTGGGTTGAGATAAAGACAGTTTAATAGACAAAGCAAAATCTGCGCACACAAGCAAAGCAAAACAAGGGATTAATTCACTGCTTCCCATGGGCAGGCAGGTGTTCAGCCATCTCCAGGAAAGCAGGGCTCCATCACGCGTAACGGTGACTTGGAAGACAAACGCCATCACTCTGAACGTCCCCCCCTTCCTCCTTCTTCCCCCAGCTTTATATGCTGAGCATGATGTCATATGGTCTGGGATATCCCTTTGGTCAGTTGGGGTCAGCTGTCCCCCTGCTCGCAGGTGGGGTGGGGTGAGAAACAAGGCCTTGACTCTGTGTAAGCACTGCTCAGCAATAACGAAAACATCCCTGCGTTATCAACGCTGTTTTCAGCACAAATGCAAACCATAACCCCATACTAGCTACTATGAAGAAAATTAACTCTATCCCAGCGAAAACCAGCACACATGTATTTTTAAATTTGAATCCTGAAGATTCAGTACTGCAATCCAGATTTTTAGCACAAGGTTTACAGCTGGCATGTTATCAAAGACTGAAGACTTCTTGGGGATGGGGCTGCTGAGCTTACCTGCCATACTCAGGAGGTGTTTAGAGGCAGTTTCTAGTTGGCGTAGGAGCTGGTGTTCAGAGCACCTGGGCCACCACTGTTGCTGTCTCTTCCAGTTGCTGCTCTGCAGCTCCTGTAGTGGTAGTTGCAGGAATGCCAGGGCACCACCCAGTATGGAGCTGGCAGTTTCGCTGGGCCCTGGTCTGGGTTGCTCCCCCAGTTCTTTGTCATGCTGCTACGCCTCTGGCAACATGAGGAAGAGAACTGGTCTTGTTTTAGTAGTTGATATTTTCCTGGGATAAAGCAGAGGCTCTTCTCTGAGCCCACTATTTTCCCTGCACTTTGATATCTCTGGGGAAGAATGGTAGAGTGGAATAATAGAGAACTATTACTTGATGGTTCTAGCCACCCTGAATATGAGCATTAGTATAAGCTGCTTTGCTTGTGACATTTTTCTTTTGCTAAGAACTGTGATAGCGGGTTACATTTTCCTCATAAATCTGAAGCCCCCATTGTAATAAAGTTTTTGTTTCTTTGTAGAATGTAACAAAGGAGAGACAGATGAAATTAATACAACAACAAAATGACATCACTGGTCTTTCGCGACAAGTGAAGCATGTGATGAACTTTACTAATTGGGCTATTGCAAGTGGCAGCAGTACTGCTTTGCTATACAGTAAACGGCTGGTAAGGAAGCATCCTCTAACTTGTCTGTACAGTACAGAGAATGTTCAGTCAAAAGAATTTCCTAAGTGTCGTGTAGCTTCACTAGATTATATCCAAGGAAGAGATAATGAGTTGTTCATGCTTCATTTAAAAAACAAAGCAAAAAAACCCTTTCTGTAATAATGGGATAAATATCCCAACTTGTACACCACTTTTCATTCGTAAATTAAGGACTTAACAGTATTATCGTAGAAGGAATGGGGTTAAGCTCTGTAAAGGCACCTCAGTGTTTCACTTGAGTCATTGCAGAAGTAGTAGTATTGTGTAACAGTACTTCCCTGTCATCCTCTGCGTTGAGTAAAAAATTAGTTGTACAGTGGATGATTTTCCTGGTGAATTGAGTACTTTCCAGGCTACTAACCAAACTTGCTATTGACAGTCCTTATTGGTGATCCAGCAGTCTAAACTCGCTGGGCAAATGCACACTTCTTAATATTCTCATTCATTATTTCGTTGTCATCAACAGTCTTGTTTTTGCTTTCCATTAGATAACATTCCAGTTACGTCATATTTTAAAGGCACGTTGTGATCCTGTTCCAGCTGCCAATGGAGCAATACGCTTCCATTGTGACCCTACATTCTGGGCAAAGAACGTCGTCAATTTAGGTGAGAAAATTGTGTGTGTTTATTCTGTGTTACTTGAAAAACTAGATTGAGTTGGGGCTATTCATCCAACATGAGTGAGCTGGAGTGCAATACATCCCTTAATGCAGAAGACCAAAACTCTCTTGATATAACCCATCCAGTCCTGATTACCCTCCTTATCTGCTGTGTTTTTTTTGTTAGCAAAGCTTTCTCCACAGGTTTTGGTTTCCAATGGGAATGGTTCTAGGAATGACCTTTTTTCCCCTCTTAAAGTGGTTCTGATGATTATAGTATAACATACTAGTGCTAAATGGGTGCTTCAGTTTCTGGAATAAGCTTTTTTGGCAAGTAAATATTTAGCTGCATATGGAGTAATACTAGATGTCTTAATGTTTTGGAAGTTGTATGAACAAGCATAATTAGGAGGACTGTTGATATGAGCAAAGTTTATGGCTAAGTACCAAGCCAGTCCATGTGATTGCTGGAAAGCTAAGTGAATTAAGAAGCAATGTTTAACTAGTTTTGTATCCTAAGATGTCTGACACATTTATAAAGGTAAAGAAAAACAGAGCCTCATAATGGGAGATACACTGCTGTTCCTGTGTGTGTCTTGCTTGCAACTGCCATACGGTAGGTTACGGCGCCATAGCTGTAACCTTTTATATCTTAAGTAGTTTTTCTCAGTGCAGCTGTTTATTCCTTCTTTGCCCTAAAGCGTTAGCTGCCATGGGAGTTTGTAATAGTCTTGGTGAGATAGGAGCTTGGAGCACTCATGTTTTGTGTGAGTGCGTAGTGACAGCTGGGATCACTGGATGTTTGCAGTTACGATTACTGCACGTTGCTGGCTGTTGTCAGATGCAGTAATAACGTGCTCTTTTAAGGATATAAGGCGTTTAATATCTTAACCTCTTTATTATTGCCTTATCCTGCAGCAGTGTAGTGTCACAGTTTTTCTTCCATATTAATTCCCTAATCACTTACACTTTTTGAAGAACAGGTTTTGAATGAGAGAAGAGGGGAGGTGAGCTAGAGTGGGGAGAGCACAGTGAGACAGAGGTATCTGTTAGCACCTGCTTGTGAACTTTTCTGTTGGATAAAAATTTTTAATAGAAAATCTGATGAAAATATCAGCTCTTCTGATGCTTTTGTGTGTACTTGCTTCTTGCTTTAAGTCCACTAGCCAGGTTTTGGTGTTCCTGTCTTTAGTCAAGGAGGTTTATGTGCACAGTAAACAAACTTTTCATTGTGTAAGTAATGGTTTAAAATTGACACTATTCCTTCATGGGCAGTTCCTCAAGCAATTTTTGAGTGCTGCTACTCTTGGAGATTACTCAAGAAGGAAAAAGCAAGGCTTTCCACAACAGAGCTTCAAATGTTGTTTGACTAGGAACCTGGGGCAGGTGGGGGAAGCTATATAGGAAACAGAACAGAAACTGTCAACCTCAGTAAAAAGTGACATGCCGATTCCAATGAGTACATGTTCAAAGTAAAAAATCAACATTTTGCCTCTTCCCTTTAAAAATAGTACTGGAGATAGCTAGAGAGGCAATGTGGTCCATCACATTGTATCAAGGCAGCACTTGCTTGTAGCAGTGTTTTGTGTCATGCTTGTATAACCTGTTCTTAGTCATTCAGTGATAGGACACTCTCCACTGGCCCCAAATACCTTTTCCCAGGCTTTGCTTCCTTAGGTATAGAAACTTTATGCTCAATGTGTCTTTTTCCTGTTTTATTTCTCATCTTGTCTGTTTGTTGAGAACACAGAGAACAGTCATCTCTGTCTTGTCTTTTAGGCTGTGCAGTTCCAGTTCTTTCACTCTTTCCTCATAGGTCATGTTTTCAGTTTTGCAATTTCTTCTTCTGGTAGTCTGAGTTTTGTTTTTGTGTCTCTCGTGTATGGTTATGGAGACTTAAAAAGAAAATTTCAAACTTAAATTGCTTTGTTACTGCCCCTGAGGAAACGGAATTAGAAACATCTGAATATTCTGCATTTATCAACCTTTGGATGATGATGGAGATTTAACTGTTTACTAGTTCTTTTTTAATTGTGTTTAGGTAACCTTGTCATTGAAAATAAACCAACTCCTAGTTACACTCCTAATGTAGTGGTTGGACAAGCTCCTCCAGGAACAAACCACATCAGCAAAGCTCCAGGACAAATCAATTTAGCGCAGCTTCGACTTCAGCATATGCAGCAGCAAGTGTATGCACAAAAGCATCAGCAACTGCAGCAGATGAGGATGGGACAGCCAGCTGGGTCAGTTCCCAGGCAGACGAGTCCACAAATCTTACAGCAGCAGGTAAATATCTTGTATGTTCTTATTTCACCTTTTACCATAACACTGAGACTTAAAATTGCCCTATCAAATATAAACTTACAAAGCGGTTTATAAATGTGAAAATCTTTTGAAATTTGACATACTTTAAATGTGACAGCTATTGGCTTCACTTGATGTTGTGTAACTAGTAAACCTACTACTGTGGAAAGAGATTGGCTTCTTTTTTCCATGTTAAAAGCAAAAATTTTAAAAAACAAAAACCCTTGCAGCCTCCCAGGTTGATCAGCATGCAGACCATGCAGAGGGGTAACATGAACTGTGGGGCTTTCCAAGCACATCAGATGAGAATGGCTCAGAATGCTGCTCGTATACCAGGAATACCACGCCACAATGGACCACAATACTCCATGATGCAACCTCACCTTCAAAGACAAGTATATCCTGTGTACACGCTTCATTTGTGCCATTGTGCCAAACTTTCATTACAATAGATGATACCTCCAGCTGTAAATGTGTTTATCTGTAACACTTATAACTCACAGCTACACACATTTATATGCTTTTTCATGTTGCATACTGTACTGTTACATTTTTGCTGAACAGTAGAAAATTCAAACCTTAAGAATGAAAATGAATTCTAATGTTTGTATTGCATTTTAGTTCTGGAAAACAAAACATTTCCTTTTTCATTTTTCAGTGATTTTCATCTTTTAGGTTTCTTAGAGAGTAGTCAGGAATAGCGAAGTTCAAAGTGATGTAGTTGAGGGTTTTTAATGAAACCAAATTCTAAAGTGTTTTTAAATTCAAACCTGAGGCGTGATGCAGAGCTCTGCATACCATTAAGAATAAAAACTCTTGACAATGAATGTTAATGTGACTGGAAGACCAAAAATTACTTTATAATACTTGAAACAGTTACTCTTTTCTTTTAAAAGAAAAAGAAGTTTGTAGACAGACATGTGGACTCTAAAGTTGTCTTTGGAGGAAGTAATAGCTTTGAGAAAATATAACTATATATGAAAATAATTTGGTGGAAGATGTGCTATATATTTAAATATCTAGCCACACAAAGTGTTTTTTCTTTCCAAGTAAATAAAAATAGCAGTTGCTTTGCATTCAGTGCTATCAGATTATGTTGATAGAAATGTGAGTTTATATGTTCTTTCCCCCCCAATTTTTTGTTGAGGACTATCATATAATGCACGTGTTGCAATTTTATGTGCAGTGGCTGTCTGATTTGTCCGTAATGCAGGCATGGTCTCTTCTCTTTTCCTACAGCATTCTAACCCTGGGCATGCGGGGCCTTTTCCAGTTGTTTCTGTGCACAACACCACTATTAATCCAACTAGTCCTACTACAGCAACAATGGCGAGTGCAAACCGTGGTCCAACAAGTCCGTCCGTTACAGCAATCGAACTCATTCCTTCTGTAACAAACCCAGAGAATTTACCTTCCCTGCCAGATATCCCACCCATCCAGGTCAGTGGAGAAGATCAGGCACTTATGCTGTGGGTGAAGTAATGATCTGCTTTCCTTTCTGTATCTTTTTTATTTGGATACCGGTACTTGTCTTTGGAACGGTATAGTTAGTCACCATTTCAAGTCGAAGAATTAAAATTTTCAGCCCTTGACTTGGGCATGCAACTATTTTCACTATATAGGGCTGACCTGCTTGACCTGTGTTAACCTTTAGATTAATCAGTATTTAATGGCTGTCCTATAGTAAAATTGATACTTAGATTAGTTAATCCCAAGTACTGTGTTCACTTCCTTTCTTCCATCATAGTTCCAAGACTATCATATGGGAAGTTATCACTAGAATAGTTGAATAGTTACGTATGTCAAATGCCCTGAATGGTGATTTATTCAGAGTTAAAGTTGTCTGGCAGTTCTCTGTGATGTTCCTAAACGTAACAATCAAATGCAGGAAGTACCGAGAAAAGGTGTCCTACTGTCCTACTTTTCTCTCTCCTTACGTTTCCTCCATACCCCAGTAGTGTGGCTGTAATCATTTCCTTGTATGCAAGAGGCCAGCATTTACATTAGCGTTGGATCCTGGAAGGTGCTGCAGAACACTTAAGCTGGCCTCCCTGATTAATCTTGAGCTGTGGTGGTATCTGTCTGGAAATTCTTGCTTGCACAAAGTGTGGCTATTGATGCTTCTGTAGTTTTCACTTCATCTGCACACTATTGGTACTCACTGACTTGGAACTGCAGAGTGTGCCCTGTATGCTTTGCCCAGAGAGGCAGTGGATAGATAGTGCTGCACACAAGCTGAGGTAGGTTTTGATGAAGTCAATCTCATTTGGAGAGGTGAGAGGCATAATTTAATGTACGAGTGGAGGCACAGAAAGTAAAAGTAATGTGTGTTCTGCAGGAGTGTTTGGGAGGTTGGGGAGGGGAGGATGATGGCTTGTCTTGAGAACAGGATGTTTACATTGAAATCTCCATATAAAGCACGGGAGATTTGGTCATGATACAGGAAACAATTGCCTTAGAAACAAAACCTAAATTTCATCCAAGCAGATGGTCTGCTGTAATACCAATAGCAACTTTTTAACTCTTAATCTATAGAGAGTCATGTTCAGGGCTTGTATGTTCAGTTTTCTCATGAGGCTGCAGGTAATTTGCTAACGTAAGAATAGTAGGAGAAAAAGGATCACGTCTCTGAATGTGATCGATCTGCAGTGCTGAAGCTTTGTTTAGTCATTAGAACAAAACACAAGTATAACTGGTTATGACTGATTCAGCTGTGTGTGTCTAAAGTTCATGATACACCAAGTTAGAAGTAGTTGTTAGTGGGATAGCCTAAAACATAAACATGCAACTTCTAGGTGCACTGAAAATGCAGAATTCTGTTGAGATGCTCTTTTTTGTACCTGTTCATGTAATAGCTGTTACGGATTTTAGTTGATTAAAGAGTTGGATAGGAAGCTATTACTCTTTCAAGTTGCTTGCACAGTCATAAAAACCCGCTTTGAATACAATGTGTTTCAAACATGTTATTTGCAATTATGCTGTCTTGCAGTTAATAGCTTTAAGCAGTTAAAGTAATAGGGTACCTGTCACCCTGTTTTTAATAGATACTAGAATCTGTGTAAAAAGTGAATGGGAGGGAGGGAGATTTCACATCATGCTAAGGAAAAACAAGTTCATGGTTTCCCTTAATATCTTAGTTGTGGAATAACTCTTGCAACATTAGTAATCTGGTAGTTCATATGACTAATGCCATTTTATGACTAACACACTCAACATCTGGGAACCAAAAAGTTTGGAATGACCTAGAGTAAGTGCAGCCTATGACCATACTGGAAGAACTTAGATATTTAGGAACTTCTGAAAAATCTTACTTTAAGTTTCTGACTGTGGATTTCTGTTTTGAAAGACTGATCTCTGTGTGAAACTGATAAAAACGTTTGATGTCCTGAATCCTTGAAGGGATAGTGAACAATTCTGGTAAAGATACTGATCATGGTTTAAAGATGTGGAACTATTAAGAAACTTTAATTAGGCCTCTCTGATTCAGACTTTTGTTTTTGCTTCTTAGCTTGAAGATGCTGGTTCAAGTAATTTAGATAACCTTCTAAGCAGATACATTACAGGCAGCCACCTACCCCCACAACCTACAAGTACCATGAATCCCTCCCCAGGACCTTCAGCTCTATCTCCAGGGTCATCAGGTAAATGTGATGGGTATTTCTAGTGATTCTAGAAAGTGATGGGTATTTCTGGTATTTAAGTTGAAAATAATTACCTGTAACTTCCTGCCAAAAGGGAAGTGAGATTTTGTTAGTTTAAAATCTATTTTGCTCAGAAATAAATTCTTTTGGAAATTTAAATTTTACCCTCCTTCAGAAATATCTTTATAGTAACAAAGTGCCAGCACATGAATGCAGTATTCCAGATAAATGTATAGACTGTATTTTTGTCCTATGTTACCACAACCCTTTTTTCTTTTTTTGTGCATCAGAGGACGTAGTTCAGTTATTGCCCCCAAATGATGACTGGCTAGACCATTCTGAGGTTTGGGAAGTAAGTTTATAGACTAGCTTAGTCACAGAAATACTTACACCCAACAATCATTTGAGCAAAGTCATTCTAAGTATAGCCAATTGATGATAGAGCTTTTGTTATGCATGTGAGCGAATTAAGTCACCAATACCTAACGTTGAGTTATTTAAACATTTAAAGTGTCCATTTCTATTAGTAAGAAGCTGATTTCAGTCATTTGGTATGTGTTTCTCTTAGTCTTCTCTCTGCGAGATTATTGTAAGATTCTGTGAATGAATGGTTGTAGCAGTGGAACTTACGTTTCTCAAAACCTGCATGCAAAACGTACAGAGTCTGCTTTTCTTGACTTTATTGGTGGATGTCAGTGGATAAAACTTGGGGACTTAATGGGCTAAGGGTTATAGCACTGTTTGGATTAGGTGAAATAATTATTGGGACTCTAACAACAGTGTGTTGTCTTTTTTTATTTAATGTGGTGTGCTAGACCTTTGTTCTGATCCAAAAGACTGAGAGGGCAGCTGACTTACGTGAATTACTAAATTAGGATATTCTAGCAGCACTTCTGGTGTTACTCAACACTAGTCATTTATTTTACTGCAGAATGTAAATTTGTACCAAGTCAAATTCTACGCTGCTTCTTTGCAGGTTTATCCAACTCCCACACTCCTGTGAGGCCACCTAGTACCTCCAGCACAGGTAGCAGAGGAAGGTGAGTATGTTACGTTAACACTGCCAGCCTGAAAAATCAGACACGAAGAATTCAAAAACTGAATTGGCAGTGGGTCAATAGGGTTTTGATATAACTGTGACCCAGTAATGGAAGAATGCTTACATGAAGAAGACTTTTTTTTTTTCTTTTCCCTTCCTTTTCCTTCACTATGATTCTCTGCTGTCTTGTAAACTTGAGCTATCTTGTAAATGTTCTGACATGCTTTGCCTTTGAAATTGTTCAGGAAACGGTCACTTAAGTTTCTTTGCTCTGAGTTTTCCTTTTATTTATATGCTGGTCTCTTTCTAGCTGTGGCTCCTCGGGCAGAACTGCTGAGAAAACTAGCGTTAACTTCAAGTCTGACCAAGTGAAAGTCAAGCAAGAGCCAGGGACAGAGGAAGAGATATGCAGTTTCTCAGGAACAGTAAAACAGGAAAAAACAGAGGATGGCAGAAGGAGTGCTTGCATGGTAAAGTTAGTTTGTGCAACAGTATGTTATGGTTTTCCTAGCAGCATGTTTAAGAATTTGGAAATAATAAAGCAATTTTACTCTTAAGCCTCATATTCTGTTAACAGCCCTGAAGATTGAGAGGTATTTTGCTCCCAGGCAGTACATCTGAACTTGTAAGTGTGGGCCAGCTCGAGTGTTGAGCTGTCTGTTTTTTAGTACTGCTAAGACTGCTAATTACTGGGGGTTTGTGACATAGGTACCAATAAGCTGGCAGTGGGACTTGGACAGTAGCTTGCTGGCTTATGTTGAACAAATAAACATTAAATGATGGCAGATGTTGCCCTTCCTGATTTGGACAGGACTTGACCTAGTGATATGGATGCAAAACACACCCAGTCCTTGTCAGTTTTATGTATTGTGATAGGTAGTTGCGTGTTGAAAGTAGTCCAATAGAAAACAGAAGTTAATCTCTGTTTGGTCCATGTTGAGGACTTTATTATATCCTTTAATACTATGCTCTGCCAGGCACAGGATAGTCTGTCGTGTACATTTTATCTTTAGCTATTAAAATGAAATACCCCCAGCAGTGTAGTGTGTTTGCTGCTTTTAATCCCTTACTAGTAAAAGCTGTAAGTCAACCATTGTTAGTAGTTCCTGAACATTCATATGTATGTAATTACATTGAGAAATCTTCAAATCAGTCAAAAGTTCTTATGCCAGAGCATAAATAAAATATTTATGCAAGTGAATATTTTTCAGTGTTTCCCAGCTATGCTTGATTTAATAGGATTGTGTACTAGGAGCAGGGTGATGGATTTGAGGGTTTTTCCTAATGACAGTGAAGGTATATTTTTAACAATTTATCAGTGTGTTTGGCTTGAAAGTTTATCATGTTATATATCAGTAGAAATGAGTCTGTTCTTGGAAGGATGGACTTGTGAAAAAGTAGTTTTCAATACTGTATGCAACTCAGGTCTTCATAATGATTTGCCATGTATTTGGGGAAATGAGTATTGTACCTTTAAATGGTGGATGGCTTTTGACTTCCAATGTATGAAGAAAGATGCCCTTGTAAAATTGACTCACTCTGATTTTCATGTGCTACTTTCATTTCAGCTTAGCAGTCCTGAGAGCAGCTTGACACCACCATTGTCCACTAACTTGCATCTGGAAAGTGAATTAGAAGCATTAGGAAGTCTTGAAAATCATGTAAAAACTGAACCAGCAGATTTAAGTGAAAGTTGCAAACAGTCTGGACATGGCCTTGTAAATGGAAAATCCCCAGTGCGGAGTCTAATGCACCGATCAGCTAGAATTGGAGGAGAAGGCAATAACAAAGATGATGATCCAAATGAAGACTGGTGTGCTGTATGCCAAAATGGAGGGGATCTATTATGTTGTGAAAAGTGCCCAAAGGTGTTTCACTTAACTTGTCATGTACCAACACTCCTCAGCTTTCCAAGGTACAGAAACAGTGTAATAGTTCCTGAGAACAGCTCTGTGGTCTCATTCATATGATAGATTTCAACACACTACCAAAACTGGTGTTTCATCCTCAACACCAGCTAGTTCTGGATGATTTCTTGTCAGTAAAACAATCTGACATTTCAGAGGCCTGCCTGAATTGTTTTGTAACTGGTCGATGTTTATCTGATAAACATATGGTCTCTCCAAGTGTGATTCTGTTATGTAAAATTCATTTTAAAGTCATGGTGAGAAAGGTGTTATAAAGTATTAGAACATACTTGGGAGAGGAATATGAGGACAGGAAAACTGGCCTTGACTGGCAGAATTATCATGAGCATTAAGGGTTATTCCTTATCTTTGGATATCCAAGTCTTTACTACAGTACAATGTGAATCTGTAAGAGCTAATGAAAAAATCTTTGTAGTCATCACTGATGAGACTTTGTCCCTCGATATCTGGAATAATTGTGTTTATTTCTGTTTAGCGGAGAGTGGATATGTACATTCTGCAGAGATCTGAGCAAACCAGAAGTAGAATATGATTGTGACAATTCACAACACAGCAAGAAAGGGAAAACAGCACAAGGTCTGACTCCTGTGGACCAAAGGGTATGTCTCAAATCTGTAGGAATCTGTTTCCTAGAAAAAAGTGCTTTCTCACATTAGCTATCCCCCACTGTTTCTTGAAGATGTTTTTGCTGTGGCTGCAGCAAATCCTTTAACATGCATTAATCTCTTCAGTGTTTTTAATTAGAAGTTCTTTGCATTTAACATTGATATAACCTTCATAAAATAGTTACGTAAGTTTGGTGTGTTAAGTTCATGCTGTGAGAGGTGCTAGAAGTATTTAGGTGCATTCTTGTGGAAGGTATAATGACAGTCAGAATTATTTTTAGCTTTATCAATCAACCTGTGCATAAAGTGTTGGAGTATTATCAAATCAAATTCCTCCAAAGAAATTACAAGCAAAGGAAAGAAAAATATTTCAACAGGGAATTAATAGAAACACTCTGGCTTTGGTTTCAAATTGTTTAATTTCGTTTTGTGGGGAAAAGAATAGAAGTCCTTTTATTCCTCAGTCCTTTCCTGTTACATGCAGTTATGGTTGGACAAAAGTGGTTGTAGTTTGTCTTTTTTTTTAATTTGACTGTATATTAGCGTGCCTCTTCATGTTTGACTTTAGCCCTAGGCTTTTGTTTAGGAAGAAGAAAGCAAAAAGGGAGTATATTTCTGCTATGTGAACAGTAAGGTGGTGTCCTACCCTCTCAACAATGCCCTCCTAAGAACTTCACGTTTTATAATCAAGCTTGTGGGACTTGCATTTAAATTTTCTAGTATTAAGCTGCTAAAGTACAAACCTATTTAAAATAGGGAGGTATGAACTTCTGGGCTGAGGATAAATTAAGGATATTAATGTGAAGCTGTTTATTTCTTTGTAAGAAATGTGAACGTCTCCTGCTTTACCTGTATTGTCATGAGCTGAGCATTGAATTTCAAGAGCCAGTCCCAGCCTCGGTGAGTCTCCTGAAAAATAGTTTGTGATTTATTTGTGGCATAACGTCTCTGAAAGTCTAGAGTTGAGTTCGGGAAGGAACTGACTGCTTTTGCTTGAAGCATGTCCCCCTTGATCAATCTAAAAGTTCTGGCAGTCATCCAGTATGTCATGATTCTGAGAGAGACAGAAGCTGATTCTGTAGCTTCTCCATGCAGAGGCTCTACTCCCAGTCTCAAACCCAGATATTTAAAAATACTTTCAATGAGCAGTTGTTGAATTGGAAGAGGATGTCTCAGGATTCTCAGGATACCCATGAAATTCAAAATGCTTTAGGAGAGGTGGGGTTTTTTTGATAATCTTTTAAATGAAAGGAGGAAAGAAACTGCTTTGACTCTTCTGTTTTCAGCTGTAAAAGAAGTAACTATAATGAAAAGCATTGCTGTGCTATGATAGACACTGAAGGTTAGAAAGAACTTAAACAGTTTGAGGAAAGGAAATTGTTCTCACTTGCTGAACACGCGTGCAGTGCATGACAAGATGAGCTGATTGATATTTTGATAAGTGAAGAAATTCAACTGCTTCTGTGAAATATGTAGTCATTGTAGTGATAAATCACTGTTTGTTTTTTACAGATACCAAACTACTATAAAATTATAAAGAAACCAATGGATTTATCTACAGTGAAAAAGAAACTACAAAAGAAGCATTCTCAACACTACCAGACTCCTGAGGATTTTGTGGCAGATGTCCGGTTGATCTTCAAGAACTGTGAAAGGTTTAATGAAGTATGTTAACTTCCAATCTGTATACATTTTTTTTTAGATTAAGATTTATTTCAACATGGTTGTGCAGCTTCTCCAAGTAAAGGCTCTGCTTCCAGTTGTAACTTCTGCTTATGGAGCAGATGCTGAATCAGACACTTAAAAACCAAACCAAACAAATGCAATTACAGAACTACCTCTCAGTTTTAGCTAAATGGGGAGATTAGGCTTTAACAGAGGGAACTTTTTAAGTGCATTCACTGGTATGGATATATGACTGAGGAGCAGGGTGACCTTGTTACTGTACATTGAATAGATTGTAGAAGTGCTTAGGAAGTGTGGTAATAAAGACAATCAAGCAGTCCTTAAAACTGTGTCAAGCTATACAGATAATTGTTCTTACACTCATGAAACATGGTAGACCTCTATTGAGGAAACTTCCTCTACTGAGGAAAAGTGCCTTTCTGAAGAATATTCTGCTGGTTCTAGTACCTCATGCAGGCTCAATCCAGAAAAGCATTGTCTTTGTTATGGCTAGTATTAAGCTTAGTGCTTTAGCTCATGGGTAGTTGGGCTCTCATAAAAATCAGTTTTCAGTAGATAACTTTTGTATGGAGTCATATTTTTGATGACTCCACATTTTGATGAATGTGGAAAGTTGACTTATTTTGCAATGAACCCATCTGATAATGAAACATTTGCACCTTACATGTGAAACGTGACTTGAGGAGATAAATTACCTAAGTGTTATTACTAGGTGGAGCAATGGAAAAAATACTCTGAATATCAAAAAAAAATTGTGGTATTGTGCTGAAACTGAGTAGGAGCTGAGATAAGAGGGTATCCTCATTTCTGAGATGCCTTAAAGCAAGGATGACTAAAAGCCCTGGGGAGAAGGCATCACAGGGAAAGGCTTTCTTCTGACCTTAGAAATGCATAAAACAGCCAGTATTTTTCTGTAAAATGTAATCTGAGTTTTGCAGTGTTTGGGCTGCATTTCTGGCTCTGTGAAGAAGTAAATTGAAGGAAGTACAGAAACCTACAATTAAAATCTCAACTGTTTCACAAGTACACTAGTAAAAATCAAGGTTAATGATGTAATGCTGTAAATGCTTACAAGCATTTGGGACTTTGACACCCTCGACTCCCTTATGTCTCTGTATTAGGTGGAGGTTAATGAGCACTGTGGAAGAAGTTGCAATTATGTGAACTTCTCAATCAAGGGAATTAATGAAGCATCTACTGTAGAGGAAAACATGCTGCAGCTTTTAGGGACAAGAGTAAAACAAGGGAGCAAGGACTGATGGATGTGGTTTTTTTTGTTTTTTAAATAAAGGTGTTTCAGACTTGTCTTGCTGTTTGAAATGCTGGCTCATGGCAAAAGATGAGTCACCCTGACCTCTCATAATAGCATCATGTCTAGTGCCTCTAAGCCATATGCTTTTAAAAAATAGAAATCAAAGTGGAGTAAGACCCCCAAGAAAGGAGTCTCATGGAGCACTTCTCTCTAAAGTGAGACTTTTCCACAGTAATGTCCAGGCAACTAAAATTTATAATGAAGAAAGTAGTCATGAGTAGAGTGCAGTTTTGAAAATGACTGGGAGACACTTATTTGTACGAAAGTTGTGTGTTTTGTTGAAGGTTTATTTACCTCATGTCACCCTCCTAAGACTGTTTTAAACATACTACCGCTAAGTTTGAGAACTAAAGAGGTGTAGTCCATAACAAACTTGTTTTGTTGTTATGGCTTACTTTAGTCATCCAATCCTATGCAATCTCATAACTTTAGAAAGGATTATAATTTCATTTTTTTTGACTCTGGTATCCTTTTTAGATGATGAAAGTTGTTCAAGTTTATGCAGAAACACAAGAGATTAATTTGAAGGTAAGCGTTTCAGACCATGCACACTTGGTGAAGGGATGTGCATTTCCAACAGGTGAATATTCCTGTCTTCTTTTATTTACAGGCTGATTCAGAAGTAGCGCAGGCAGGGAAGGCAGTTGCATTATACTTTGAAGATAAACTTACAGAGATCTACCCAGACAGGACCTTCCAGCCTTTGCCTGAATTTGAGCAGGAAGAGGATGATGGTGAAATAACTGAGGACTCCGATGAAGATTTTATACAACCACGTAGAAAACGCCTAAAATCAGATGAGAGACCAGTGCATATAAAGTAATCTAATGATATGGACCTAAAATTTATTGTAAAAACTGTTATTTAAGTGTTCCTGGAATATTATCATGCCTACAGTGGCCATCTTGAAGAAGCTGATAGCTTTTTAAACAGTATTAGATTACAAAAAACACTTGTACAGAAAAGCATTCTCATCAAAAGGGGAAAAAAACTGTATTGTAAATTTTTGGCGTTTTTTTTTTTTTCCTTGATTATTTGCTATATTCTTTCTTTTTCTGATGGAGGGGACACATTCATCCTGGTCTCGCAGACAGAGGTGGATGAATGTTGGAGAGAAGCAGATTTGATAAGACATGTTCCGCGTACAGATAAGACTGCTTAGTAAAATGTTCTGCAGGACTGGACCAATACAGTTACTGTATCTTGCATTCATGCTGGACTGCAGTGTAAACTGTAAGCAATGTTCCTGAAATCCCCTCTTGGTGTGAACTTAAGTGTGTGTTGGTCATTACTTTTATCATCTCATTTAAGCGGTATTGTGAATAACTGATCTTCTGTGTTGATCCCATTATCTAAATTTGACTTTCTTTACTACATTTTATGTATAGCAAAAGGAAAAAAAAAAATCATTAAACTGTTCTGAATTGGCAAGTGCAGGAGTGTGAGTTCTTGACAGATGAAAGACTAAACTGGTGGCAACAATCTTTTTTCAGTAGGCTAGGTATATTTATTACGAATCCTGTACACAGAACATTTTAATGGCATTCATGGCAGAAGTCTTCGCATTGTCATCTGTCCCTGATCCCCCTAATGAGGCAGAATGTTATCTCCAGTATTCATTGTCTAATTTTCTGTACTTAAAATATAGACTGAAGAGTTAATAACTGGTTGGGGTGTTTTTCCAGTCTTCCTAAATATCAGTTTCTAATAGACCACTCGGCAAACAATAACCTATTAACTACCAAATGTGTAAAATTTCCTGTATTCACTTTGTCTTATTTGTAAATAGTGAATTGAGATTTCTTGCAGATCAGCAACATTTGCTGAACTGTTTTTAAGCTAATATGTATTCTTATTAATTGTTCCTATCAAGAAAAGATTTGTAATATATGCTATTTCTAACATTGCATTCATTTTGAGGTTCTGTCTTATTTTTATTAGAGTACTACTCAGAACTTTCTTCAGAAGCAGCTTTTGAGCGAAATGTCTAGAAAGATTGGAATAAATCTGTTGAGATCGGGTTACTTGTCCATCCATTGAACAAAGCACTTGCACAGACCGGGATTTGGCTTTGAGTGGTTTCTGGTCAAATATTGAAAACAGAACAATTCCCTTATTTCCCTAAACCCTGTGGCGGGCATCTCTGCAGTGCCTTCCCGTTGCACACTGCCTTCATTCCAGCATTTCTGGTTAGAAATAGGTCATCACAAAGTAATTATAGTTTGAACAGTTGTTTCCTTTACTGACAGAAATCAATACTAGAAATAATAAATGTAATTTCTGGCCTTCATTGTTAAAGTAAGATGAAGAAATCATGTAATCGGATGAGGTCAAGCTGATAGACAATAAATTTGCCATAAGATTTTTTGTGAATACAGCAATTCTGTGGTAAATCACTGGGGTTTTGGTATACTCAGCATGAGCAATTCCTGTGACATTGTATACACTTTACCATAATGGTAAAGATAAATATTTTAGCACAATGTATCAAACTGAGATATGCTCTCAGCAATTTTTATGCAAATCACTTAAGATTTGATTTCTTTTTATAAGAACAAAGTATATGTACATTGTGACTGTACCTCACAATAAATGAGGGGACTGAAGGTATTTGTAACTTCAAGCTCACTTCTTTAAATTATGCAAATGTTACACTTAAAACTCAAACTGTTGGGTTTTTTTCATTTTTCAGATATTAACAGTGCCAGTTTAAATTTTTTTTACCAGTTTGTATGTGAAAGGAAAAGTTATTCTACTTAAACATATTAAATTGACAAATAGCAAAAACTTTGCCCGTAGAAAGGATGATGTGTGTGAATAGGACACTAATAGTAACAAGGGATCATTTAATGGCTCTGTGTATTGCCTATTTATGCATTTCTAGTTTCTCAGCTTAATTTTGCAAAGGAATACTATTAAAATTATCATGAAAGTAAGATTTTGTGAATTCTCTTCAATTGGGGTTACTACTTTTATGGCGCTTAAGCACTCTAGGTTCTGTACCTTCAGGCCTCAACTTTTTAACTGTTCACTTTGTAAGGCACCAGTCATGGATTCAAGTACTGCAGATACCCGCTGCCTGAACTGGAACATAGGACAAGCATGATGGCATCCTAGACTGGGTCACAGAGTGGGGGAAGGACCATGCTACAAAGCTGTGATTCAGGGGTGCACATGCTCCCTGGGTGCTGCAAGTACAGTACCATCTGTTTTCCATCCAGATGCCAGGTACCAGACCCCAGAGCAGATGTCTAAATGTTTTGAGATAACTTCTGTGATCAGTTCACTCCCTATGACAAGGTAGAAAAATTGTCAAACTTTGTAGGCTAGCAACTTAGCCTGTATTCCACTAGCTCACCTGCAAACCACAAGTGGTGCTAAGCTTTGACCTTGATGAGAGTTCAAGCTCTTGCACATAATCCACTGAACTTCTAGAACTGGTCCTTCCATTCAGCTCATCAGTGCTCAGTAGTAGTATGTGGAATTTTGACTTGTGTGCAAGAAATCTTAAGTGTTTCTTTTTTATATAAAAGAAATGAAACAACATTATCTTCTCCCCCCACCACCCCCATTTTGGAACTCCCAATACAACAACTCAATGATTGTTTTGAAATTAGCTAAGTTCTATTCAAAAATACTTGAAAGGATAGGTAAGCTCTGCTAATACATTTCCTGATTCTATAGTCTGTAAATGTTCATCATAGAACTGTTAAGGGTTTGCTCAGTCAAAACAGCCTTTTGGTGCCACACTGTATGTAACTTGTTCAGGAGCAAATTAATGGGGTTTGTATTAACAGGCCACTGTGTTACTCTGAGCATCTTCTCTATGCCAGATGATGTGTGTGCAATATGTGCAAGTGACAGTGTGTTTTACCCTGGGAATTAGAGCATAGCTTACATCAATAAAGCTAGCAGGTAAAAGATGTGGTGGGTGCACTCTGCATGCCAGCTCCTTTGCGTGATTGCAGTGTTCCAACGTGATAGCAAGAAGATAGTCTAGCACTTGATGTAACTGTATGCGCTCATTTAAGACACTTGTAAAAAAAGACCATTCATGTCAATTTTTGTTGTAAATGACCCTGAAGTTTAAGTTAATCCAAAGAAGTAAAAGGCAACTTGCTTTTGAAATAAGAGTGAAAAGTGTACAGTATGCTACTTGTGGACTTCTCAATTACCTCAGCAGGTATCCTGCCATGTAATTACTAGTGATTAGTGATAATTTAACCAGCTGATGAATAGGTTCAGGTCTTCTATTTAACTGTGCCCTGGAATTAAGTGGCCTATAGCATAATAAGGCAGAGTTACTATCCAAAAAAAGGATGTTCCCCAAACTTTCCAAAATAGAAATGCTCTGTTAAATGTAGAGAGGTTGGTTTTTTTGTGTGGAATGTCACCATTGCTATTACTTGTGACATTTGACTGTGTCGGCACACTTAACACTGGATCATTGGAATGTTTTATAAACATTTCTGCAAGCCACTGGAACAGAAGTCCTTAAAATTAGCCCAAATTTATCACTGTTGTATAAGCTAGTTTATTGGCTGACCTCTAAAAGTTTAGGTAATGGCAACAGTATTTTAAAGCTATGTATATGATGTACTGGAAGTTGGCTTTTTCTTGTTTTTCTTACTCTCTTCCTTGGAAAAAGCAATAAAACTGCTTTGTCTGTTGCCAGTTAGCATGACAGAATCCTTTCCTTTGGATAGTGATTTTATAGGAAAGTTTGTATGCATATCACCAAGTCTAGCTTTTAAAAACAAAGTGTGCAGGAGTTATTGACAATATAGTGTGGCATTTTATTTTATAAATTGGGGAAAGTTACATATTTTTTTAAAAAGTAGGTGTTTGAGTAAATAATGGAGGTACTTTTTTAAAAAAAAATTTATATGCCACAGTTTACATAGACATATTTCAGATTGAACATACGCATTGTATCTTCAGATATGGCGATTTCTTTTATTTTCTCAAAGTGCGTGTACAGTAACTCTTCCATCTAGTTCCTGTGTTTGCTTATGGGAATCCTACTTTATATGCTTTCTAATATATCTTAATTGAATTAGGTTTCAAAAATTGCAGTTAATTTGGGTATCTATTATAAGTGAACTATTAAATGTACGAAATGCAGTTTTGGCCTTTTCTATTGAGTGATCTTACAGCTCAAGGCTGCTTTCTTTAGAATTTATTGAATTTCTACAAGGAGAGGTACTAAAAAATTTTATAAGTTCGACTTGTTGCAGCATTCACTCTAGAGTGAGCTACATTAAAAAAAAAGTGCATGTCTGCTAATCGCCTGCAAATGGGGGTATTTCTTAGGTTCAGAACACCATGAAACATGTATATAAACCTACAAAGATTTGTGCGGTTGAAAGCCTGTTTTACATGTAAACGTACTCATGGAAGGGTTAAATTCATGGCATTCTTTGTTTCTTCAATTATTTCTTGCTTCCAGTAAGAAACTGGTTCTTTTTTGCACATAGTAAACTTCGCTCATCTTTTAATATGATTCTTCAAAAAAGTGCTGTTTCTGTGGTATTGTATTATCTGAATAATCATATTTAACTTTTTTTAAACAAGTTTACCGTTTCTAATTGTTCTGTTCCTGTGTTTTTTGCTGGTGTGTAATGAAAAAAAAGTTTTTCTTTACATGGTTATTTAATACATTAGCTGCCTGTAAATATTTCTTGTTAAGTGCTCTGGAATGTGCTGTAGAAGTTGTATTAGATCAGTTTAAAGCATTGTTTGAAAACCATTTTGTTTTGGTTCTTTCTATTAAATTAGAAAAATGACTCAATTTGAGTTTCTTTTTTGCATATCTGCTTTAGGTCATTAGATACTGGTTCATGTCTGGCAAAAGACTTTTCTGATACTTGCAGCGTGGAAGTACCTCGATGAAATTTTAACTGCAGCAGTTAAAGTTTGACAACCTGAGGCTGCATAATATGCAGCAATCAGTAGTTCCAAGACAGAAAATACTGAAGTCTAAACTCGATTCGAAGTCTGGGTTGGAGATGCTGTGATTTCACCGCTCTGCACTTTTTCATAAAATTGTCACATTTATCTACACCTTGTACATGAAATACAAATATTTTAAGGTTTTCTCTAGGGTTTTTTGTGCTGCTGTCATCCTGAAGTTTGGTGCAGCCTTGGAGGAGACAGGTCTGAGATGTGCAGCTCACACGTGTACAGTTCTGGAGCTGGGGTGCTTTCCAAAGGCCCGACAGACCTGACAACAGTCTGTAGGGAGATAGCTCTGAGGCGTTGTTCCCCACACCCCCCCTGCCCCCCGGTAAGCACTGGAAAAATGAAAAGGGAGCTGAACCTGATTGCCCTGTAACTTGTTAACATTACACCCATAGCTGTGCGATGCTCCTCATCTGCCATCTGTCTGTCATACTCTGCTCTGCATGGTGGTTAGTGTATTCTACCTGTTGGAAATGAGTCTGCAGTGAATGCATAGCTAGGGTCAGCATGTTCCTTGGCTTAATAAATGTGTATATCAGGGAGCAGATCCATGCAGTAACGTGATGTGTGGCCCTGCGCTTGGGTGCAAGGTGTGATTCAAAATACAGGGGAGCAAAGCCAGTGGAAGCAATCTGGTCAGCTGGCCAGTCCACCTCTCATGGATGCAATAGTACTGTGATCCAGTGTGCTGGTTTCAGCTGGGATAGAGTTAATTTTCTTAATAGTA